ACCTAAATCTACATTAACTGGTAAATAGATTAACAAAATGTGGCATATACATACAATGGAATGAAGTACTGATGCATGTCACAACATGGATGCATTTTGAAAACATGCTAAGTGAATGAAGCCAGTCACAAAAAGCTATATGTTGTAGGATTCCATTTATATGAAACGTCCAGAATAGGCAAATCCATGGAGATGAAAAACAGATTAGTGGCTGCCAGCAGCTAGGGAAAGGAGGCAGCGAGTAACTTCTAAGGTGCACAGGGTTCCTCTTGGGATTAATGAAAATATTCTAAAATTAGAGAGTGCAGATAGTTGCCCAACTCTGTAAATATATTTAAAACTATGGAATTGCAAACTTTTAAAAAATAAATTTTATGGATTGTGAATTGTATCTTAAATTTTATTTTTACTTATTTGTTGTGAAATCAAATATATTATTTGCATTTCAATGACTTAAGGCAGCACAAACATCTCTTAACATTTATTGATCAGTTTTCCTCTTCTGTGAATTTTTATTTGTATTCTTTGCCCATCTTCTGTTGGGCTGGTGGTCTGCAAAACTACCTTTGAGTGCTGGTAATGTATGAACAAGAAGCTTCCCTCTTCAGCAGTGACAGGTGAGCGAGCATTAGAGGTCACTTGGACATGTCAGTACTTCCTAGCAGAAACCACATTGATTCCAGAATGGAATCTCTGAAACACATGGTTGCCATGACAAATGACAACATCTCAAAGGATTCCTTTAATTGATAGAGTATTTTACTTTTGGCTAAGAGGTAAAGTACTTGAGTTTCTTTTCCCTACTGTGCCTCATCAGCAATTACAGAGAAGTTATACACAAGTAAGTAATTTTTCTCCTATTAATCCTTCAGTCAGTTAAAAGCCTGTCTTCTTTCTAATGTGACTACTTTTTTTTAGTTTTTGTTGTTAAAAGATAGAAGTATGGTGAGGCTGTACCTCACCATAGGCCCTCTTCTAAAGTTCTTACCAAATTTGCTGATTGGAAGAGTCCATCTTTGTTCATTGATCTCCTGACTTCATGTCTATTATCTTTTCCACCATCTGCCCACATCCCTTCTGCCTTGCAGGCATTTGAGCTTCTATGTTAACTGATGGCTGTCTAAACCATCTACTTGTTGGCACCCACCAAAGTTTGGACTCGATCCAAGCAACCAAAGTCTAAAATTGAATTCCCATCCAGAAAACCTTTCATTTTCTTCAAGGAGTCAGGAAACAGAAATCCATCAAGTGGTGAAAAGCCCATGAGAATAAATAGTTTACACATCAATTTAAGAAATGCTAATCACAATTTATTAAAATAAATGATAACACATAGAGATATAGAATAACAAAAATTGCATCAGGGAGAAAATCTTAGATCTGTCCCAAAATTATTCATGTATGTATTTAATCCTCTGAGAATTTTAAAGAGCAAATTTTTCCTAAAGCAAAGTCATTGGTAAGATAGACTAGGAATATCCATTTAGTGAGATACCAAATGTTTGGAAATAACAATGAAAACACTCAATAAATCAAAAGAGAGCTAAATTGTGAGCGCATAAAACATCTCTGGAATGAGGCTTTTGTTCACATGTTTGTATCCAGACATACCTCCCTGGGAATGGGTAATCTTTGGTTCTGGTTTTGAACCAAGGATAAGCTGGTGAAGCTGGTGAAGCTGGTGAAGCTGGACTAAGCAAGGAGTCACAAAGATAAGTCGCTGTTCAGATGGGTCAGAATGGATAAGATAAATTCTGTAGTAGCTTTGAAGCCAAAAGGATCAAATAGCTGGGGAAGAATAAGGCTGAAAAAGCAAATTTACACATACAATTTTGGGTCAGAAAGAGAATTCCTCCACATGAAAGTCCAGCAAACATTTAATCCGAGGATAGTTCATCTCATTCGATACTGAATAAAGATTAAGAAAGAATCAATAGAGGATGCAAACAAAAAAAATTACAAGAAAAAAGCAGGAAAGTAATATAAAATAAATGACGAATAATTTTAGAAAAAATATTTTCAAAACGCAAGTGAAAAAAGACTTTATAATTTAATGAAACAGTTGTATCTATATAATATTATCATAAAATAGAGATATAAGAATTCAGGGAAGAATAGTGTGGCTCAGAAAAGAAGTGGAGAAGAAAAATATTCTACAAAAAAAAGGGCATGTTGGAAACAGTACAAAGAAAACAAACATTGCTGTGAACATGATAAGGAGCATTAAGGACAAGATTGAGGTCAGCTAGAAAGACTTTTTAAAAGACATCACGAGGTGCCTGGGTGGCTCAGTCGGTTACGCATCCGACTTCAGCTCAGGTCATAATCTCACGGTTGGTGGGTTTGAACCCCACATCGGGCTCTGTGCTGACAACTAGCGCAGAGCCTGGAGCCTGTTTTGGATTCTTTGTCTCCCTCTCTCTCTGACCTTCCCTGCCCACGCTGTCTCTCTCTCTCTCTCTCTCAGAAATAAAACATTTAAAAAAATTTTTAAGTAATGAAAGACATCATATATAAGCACAATTGGTATCACCAAAGTAGAGAACGAAAATAACAAGAAAATATTTAAATACAAATTTTAGTAAAACTTTCCACGAATGTGTAGATTGAAAACCAGGCTACATCCTCAGAAAAATTAACTCAAGACAATCAATGGTGAGTTATATCCTGGTGAAGTTATTGATTTTCAAAAGTAAATAAGGAATGCTTTGGAAATCCAGGAAAAGGAAAAACGTTCAATTGATCTATTTAATGCTAGAGGGCAGTGGAGCTGTGCCTCTAAAATCCTTGAGGAAGATGCTGTGGCCTAAGAATGTTGTGGTTCAGCTGGACTTTAATTCAGGGTGAATGTAACAAACATGATGTTTTTAACATGATACAACTCATGTGATTCCATCTTCAATAGACTAACAGAAAATGAACTTTAGCCCAACCAGAGATGAATGGACAAGCCATGGAAGGAGTCAGTGAATCTAGCTCAATGTAAGGCTAAGACGTGAAGGAAAATGAAGACTATTATTTCAGAACTGAATATAAATATTATAAACTTTGAAAATACAGAAATGATATAACAAATAATACATAAAAATTAGAAAATAAAAGGGAAGTTGGTGTCAGTACATTGATTTCGTCATTATTAAAACTTAGGGGTTAATAAGCTATCAAGTACAGTCAACCCTTGAACAACACAGGTTAGAAGCATCAACCTCTGTGCCAGTCAAAACCCCATATAATGTTTGATTCCCCAAAAACCTAACTACTAATACCCTACTGTTGACCAGAAGCCTTACTGATAATACTCTATGGTATACACTGAAAAAAAAAATCCACATATGAATGGACCAATACAGTTCAAATCCATGTTGTTCAAGGGTCCACTGTAATATAAACAGGAAGGCATAAAAGTTTCATTAAATAATCAATTAAAATTATATGGAGAATGAGGGAAGGGAGGAAATAAAAATTCATCTTTGATTTCAAAGATTTCATCTTGGCTCACAGTTGGCAATCAACAGATTCACTCTAAAGTTCTGAAGAATAAATACATTACAAAAAGTTATATTAATCATAATCACAAGAAGAATATAACCCTAGCATATTAAAGAGACACACAAACACATCACATTACACACACGCACACACACATGAAGTAAGGGAGAAAGTACCAAATAATAAAGGATTTAAAGGTAGCAACAACAAAAGCAGAACATAAAAATAGGACAAAAGTAAAAACCCAAATCCATTATGTAAATTCGTCAAAACTCACTTATAATAAGAAAAGAATCTGGCTTAATTACAAATAAAACCCAGAAATATGCTACATACTAGAGACATTTATAAAATAAAATATCTCAAAATGGTTGTACATAAAAAGATGGGGAAAAAGCATTCCAGGAAAATGTAAACAAACCATTGTGACAGCAAATTAAGAGTTGAGATCTTAATCCAGACAACTTTGAATCCCATACTTCGAAATAAATGCCTGGGTCGCTCAGTCCAGGAAGCCTCCAACTCTCGATTTTGGCTCCGGTCTTGATCTCACTGTCTCGAGATCAAGCCCCACATCAGACTCCACACTGGGCCTGGAGCTTGCTTGGGATTTTCGCTCTCTCTCCCTCTCTCTGCCCCTCCCCTGCTTGAGCTCTTTGTCTCTCTCAAAAAGAGAGAGAGAGAGACTTTAAAACATTAAATGTATTTTTAAGCAGCATTTAATGAGAAAATTTATAATCATAATGAAGATGAAATAATTATAAAAATCTACCCAAGAAGAATCTTAAGATGTCCCCCAATATTCCTGTCTCTCAATATCTGTGCCTTGAACAAATCCCTCCCTCTTGAAACTGGAAAAGGCAGGATGTAGGCTGCCCTCTGCCTGTGATGAGATGTGACCATGTTCCATAACATGGCAAAAGGGATTTTACAGATGTAATAAAGGTTACTACGCAGCGGACTCTGAGTTCATCAAAACAGGTATTGCCCAAGTGGGCCTAGTGCAAGTCTGGGTCTAAAGGTGGGAGACAGAAGTCAGATGTTGGAGTGAGAGAAGGTGTTGCCCACGTGGCAAGGGACAGCCTCTAGGAGCTGAAAGATGTGCTCTGACACAGCCACAGAGTGGCCTCCCATCTTAACAGTCTCAAAAGACTGATTTCTGCCAAACATCCAAATGACCTTGGAATGGATCCTGAGCCTTGAGTGAGATCACTGTCCCTGCCCACACCTCAATTCCAGGCATATGAGACCCTAAGCAGAGCCTAAATCTTCTGACCCACAGAAACTGTCAAACAATAAATGGATGATTTTTTAAGCCATCAGTCTTGTAGTAATTTGTTATACAGCCGTAGAAAATTAATACAATGTACATTCTATATAACATAATAGCATGAAAAAAGATAAAGCAAAACAAAACTACTAAGAAAGCTACTGGTTCATGTACTAATTTAAAGCACTCTTTTGTAGTACTAGTCATAGAAGACTTTAATTCACCTTTGTCAGCATGACATCAAAGATTCGGAAAACAAGTAGGAATTTAGGATACAGTAGAGACAAAGGTAAGTATGTGTATGTGTGTGTATGTTGTGTGAGACAGTGTGCAGAGAATTAAAAACAGAGAATGTGTCTTGTTTTTTCTAATGCTTGCCAAAAAAGTCTATTCACAAAAGATAACCCTGTTAGGTTAGAAATCTCTGTGCAAATCCCAAAAGGTGGAAATAGCAAAATACTTTCTGATCACAAGGCAAAACTTTAGAATGTAATAATACAATTATGAGACAAAAACAAAAAAACTACAATTTTGCCATCTAAACTACTCTATTTTAAACAATTCTTGAGTCAAAGAGGAAATTAATACAGAAATTGCAGAATGTTGATAATGACATCACAAGACCTAGAGCATGCAGCCAAAACTGTAAACAGAAAAAGATCCATAACCTTAAATATTTAGACTACACAGAAAGAATGAAAATAATTGAATCAAATAGCCAAAGCAGGAAGTTAGAAAATAAATAAATAAATAAATAAATCCAATAAAGGCTGTTGGAAAGAAGGTATACATAAAGACAAGGCTGAATTTTTTTTTTAATATTTTTATTTATTTCTAGGAGAGAGAGAGAGAGACAGCGTGAGCAGGGGAGGGTCAGAGAGAGAGGGAGTCACAGACTGAAACAGGCTCCAGGCTCTGAGCTGGCAGTCAGCACAGAGCCGGACGCGGGGCTCGAACCCACAAACCGCGAGATCATGACCTAAGCGAAAGTCGGACGCTTAACCGACTAAGCCACCCAGGCGCCCCAAGGCTGAATTTTTTAATTTGATGAGAGAAATAATAAGATGAGTAAGTTCAAATTTTGATACTTTCTCATGATGAAGAGGACACTTCACTTCAGTGACATTCTTTCCTAAAACAC